CAAATTGCATTTCTGCAAACTTAATATCAAGCATTACAGCATCTTTAGGACTAAGGAAGTTATTTAAGCTTTACATGAGGCTTATACAACCTCGTACCCTATAGATATTTTGGATTACAACTCCCTTATTGCAGGCCAGTATGACTAGGGGCCAAGGATTATGGACATTGTAGTCTAAAATATCTGGAGGACATGGGGTTGGGGAAAGCTTTTCTGTTTAGCTTCTGAGATCGGCAACAGAAGCCCTCCTCCGGGAACCCTCTGTGAAAGATATTAGGAGACTCGGAGGAGGGCCTTCTCTGTGGTGGCGCCCTAACTATGGAATGCACTCCCCAGAGAGGTCCGCCTGGCGCCATCATTATGTTTTTCGGCACCAGGTTAAGACCTTTTTATTTAATCAATATTTTAATAAATTTTAATATTGAATTGTATTATTGTATTTTAATTGCAGCCAGAGTGGGTCATCAATTTATTTATGCTGTTAGCCGTTCAGAGAAGTTAGTAATTGGACGGTGTACACATTTTAGATAGATAGATAGATAGCTTCTGTATAGCCTGAAGTGCCTGATTCTGCCTAATCTTGGAAGCTAAGCAGGGTTGGGGTAGATTGAAATCTGCATGGGTGACTTGATATTGTGAACTGCCTAAAGAGCTTCAGCTGTGGGCAGTATCGAAATGCAACTAATAGTAATAGTAATAATATTTTGGCAATGGTGAAAGAAAAGTAACTATTACAGTCTAATCAACATCTGGACTTCAGTCTAGGAGCCTTGAATTCAACCCTTCTCTAACATGGACTCACTTTCTCTTGGGCTTAGTGTCCTGTCTGTTTAGTAGGTACACTAGGAAGCTTATGAGGTATGCAGGTATGTGAACAAGACAGTGGACAACGTTTTGCAGATGTGCTGTTTTGATGATAGAGAGCAATATAAATCTATTGCCTTGCCTGCTGCCAATATATAATGCTAGAGACATTGGAATATTCTGCCTGTTTCATAGGAAACTGAAAGGAGCATGAATGAATGTTGATCCATAGTCTTTGTCCCTAGTGCTATACAGCCAACAGTTGGGACCACATAGCACTGCTAGTTTCAAGACTGTCTAAAGCATGTTAAGATAAAGTGCTAACTTCTGATTAATATAAGCAGCATTGAGTTCTATGGGATTTATTCTTGCATGTGTGCTTAGAAAATAGCTGTAGGAACAAAACAGGCATTGCTTCTGTTCAGGATTAAGTCTGCAACCTGCGGCTTCTTCGTTTTTTTCCTTCTCTTTCTCCTCCTTCCTTCCTTCCTTCTTTTTTAAGTTTGCCACATGAAGTGATAGCTTGGGCCAAGTTCACATGGTCTACTTTTGGACTTCATATGGCAGTTCTTGGCTGTGTGACATTTTCAGCACAAGCATGAGCTGCTGGTCTTGCACTTTGCCACTTCAGCGTGGCCTTGTACTGGGAATTAGACAGAGCGGCTTCTGACTGTAAGTATGACTGGTTCACTCCTGCCATGGCCCACCCCTCCTATTCCTGTCCTGCTGTCCTCGAGATGAACTACAACTCCCAGAATTCCTGAGCATTCACCATGCTGGCTGGGGCAAATAGATGTTGAACTCAAAAACCTCTTGGAGGGCATCAGGTTGTGAAAGGCTGATCCAAGCAATACAAGTTGTCACAAGCTGGGGTTGCCATTTGAATGAGTCATTAGAAATAACATGTGGAAACTCAGCACATAATCCAGTCAAACCAAATCAGACCATGATGTGCAGGTAGTTCTTCAATAAAGACACAGTACATTTCTTAGTACATCCCTGTCAGTGCTGTCTATGGTGTAGGAGGAAAGGGTCACACCCTGTTGCAATGGGGGTGGAAAACTGGAATTGAAAAAAAAACCCTTAAAATCCTCACTGGGGAAGAGCAGCACTATTTTCCTTGTTTCCCAGAAAATGCCCAAATACAAAAGTAAAAGATGACTAAGCTAAGCACAACCACAACTTCAGATGAACCAGCTGTTTTTTAGATCCAACATGGAAGGTTTTGCTTAATGCCAGTTCTTTACAGTAATAAAAGAAAAAGGAGTTTCATGCAAAAATTCTCCCATCAGTAGTTTGGCTTGCTGAAATGAACAAACAAAATCTAATCTCATGCTGATGCAACTAAACCTTTTACACACAAATAAAATCAACTTGACAGAAAAAAAATAAATGCAAGCATTGGGCACAAAGATATTCTGGAAGTGATATTTTAGAAAAAGGAACATGTTTTAAAAGTATAAAATGCTTTGACGGATTAGAATATCACTTCCAGGAATATCTTGATCTTTATAGCCATTGTTCTTGCCATCACTGGCAAGTGTCCATCACTGGCTTGGTGTCCCCTGCTATGATTGTGAGCCCTCTTCCTGGGGCTGTGGTTTATTCCCTCCTTTCTCCCTAGCTTTTTTCTGGAGATTGCTTTTTGCATTTTCTGAGTAGACAGCCAAAGCATTCAAGCAGCACTTTGGAAGGTCTGTCACTGGTTTGCCATGTGTGTGCCCTGAATGTACACACACATTTCCATAATTATTTTAGATGAAGGTGTATTTGTGCAAGTGAACAAAGGGGAAAAACTGGTAGTGAGTGGAAAAAGTACTTTTTACTGTGGTGGGAAGAGGAAAGAATGGACTTTTGCTACTATGTCCCCTGGGATACTGGCTGAAAGATGGGGGGAAGAGGTGGGGCAGCCCCTGCTGAAGCTGATGATCTGTCTGGTACAGTGCGTGTGTGGGGTGGGGTTACAGTCCCAACCCTGCATAACTTCCAAGGTCAGTTGTCATGACATCTGTACCCAATGTGCTTCAGAATGGTAGGGAAGGACTAAAAAGATTGGACACACACATACACACAAAGGCATTACATGTTGTGGACAAGACAAAGACTTTAATCTCTGAAATCCTTAACAGTTGTCCCTTAGAAGAGTCGATCATGGGACTTACGAATAGGAAGGCAACCCTGAATTTAGTTTTGCTGCTCACAACCTAGGGCAGAATATGATGTCATTGAATCAGCTGGAAATAATGCCACTGGTGTATCGAATTTAATTTATATTGAGGCAGAAAATTTCTGAGCAAGTTATGTTTAATGCTAAATAAAAAAAAATCTCCAAAATGATGGATCCGTTAAAGTGGGAGCTGAAAAGGAGCAGTCAAGGGGGTTAAATCTCTCAAAGGCTTGGATAAAAATAATAGAAAATAATAGAATATCAGCAGGAATATATACCACAGTTCAGGAAAAGTAGCACCACATAGTAGAAGTTGGAAGTTTTAGTCCCCGTGTGCCTCATTGTACTTGCTTCTGTTTCTCCGTATTTGCCATTGTAACACCCATCCTTTCAGTTTGGAGAGATCACTTTGCAGTTTTTCACAATCCCTTGCGGTTTTAACCACCTTAAATAGTTTGGTGTCATCAGCAAACTTGGCCATTTCACTCTTTCCTCTTAATTCTAGATCATTTATGAATAAGTGGAAAATAATTGGTCCTAATACAGAACCCTATCGAACCTCACTGTTTACATCTCTCTCTTGGGAGAATTTACCATTTATTCCTGCTCTCTGCTTTCTGTTCTTTAACCAGTTACTGATCGATAAGAGGACATCTCCTCTTATTCCATGATAAGTTTGCTCAGGAGTTCTTGATGAGGGACTTTGCAAAAGCCTTTTGGAAGTCCAAGTAAATAATGTCTACTGGATCATCCCTGTCCACATGTTTATTGACACTCTCAAAGAACTTTGAAAGGTTAGTGAGACATAATGTACCTTTGCAGAAGCCATGTTGATTCTTTTATTAGCAGAACTTGTCCTTTTGTATACTTAGTAATTTTATTTTAAATAATATTTTCAGCCAATTTGCCTAGATCAGATATTAAGCTAAGTAGCCTGCAATTTCCCAGATTTCCCTGAATCCCTTTTAAAAGGGTTGCATTGGCCACGCTTCAGTCTTCTGGTACAGAGGCTGAGCTTTGGGACTTGATACATATTGTCATTAGAATATGAGCAATTCAACTTAAATCTTGTGTAAGAAAGTATAACATTTTTCTCTTCTCACAATTGCTCTTTAGGTTTTGTTCGAGACACACAAGAAAACATAACTTAAAAAAAAATCAGCAATTTCACATTTGAGTTTCACATATCCAGCAGTCATGGAATAAGAGGAAGGTCCTTTTATAGATTGGTAATTGGTTAAAGAAGAGAAAGTAGAAATAAATGGTCATTTCATGGAACGAAAGAATGTAAAGTGTGGGGTCCCACAAAGATTTGCTTTTGGACTAGTGCTTTTTAACTTGTTCAGCAGTGATCTGGAATTAGGAGTGAGCAGTGAAGTGGCCAAGTTTGCTGATGATACTAATGATCCATGGTGTGAAGAAGGCGAATGGGGATACATTTTCCTTCCCTTTGAATCCAGGGTTATCCTGTGAAGCTGAATGGTGAGCAATCCAGAACAGATAAAAGTATTTCATGGCAAAGAGTGAGCACTGTTAAATTCCAAAATTTGCAACCACAAGATGACCACCATCTTGGAGAGCTTTAAAAGTGGATTGGACAAATTCATAGAGCATAATGGCTACATGTTGCCACCAGTATCAGAGGAAGTATTCCTGTGTATAGCAGTTGCTAAGGAACATGAGAAGATCCCATTATTTATTATTTCTTACATTTATATACTGGTCCATAGCCCAGGGGCTCTCCGGACAGTTGGGGTTCTCTGGGTCCCTGTTGCACTCATGTGCCTTGATGAACTTCCCACAAGAAGCTGGTTGGCACTGTGTGAGCAAAATGCTGGAATAGATAGGCTATTGGTCTGATTTAGCATGGTTTTTCTTCTTCTGAGAGCTAGTGTTGTACATTGCTTATAATGCTGGGTCTAGAAATGGAGATAACCCAAAGATAGTCCAAGCCCCACTCAGCCAAGTTGCTCACAGGGTGACATAGTGGTGTTTATTTAAGCTTAAATGTGTTTCCTCTCTTTTCAAGGGAATTCCTGGGATCCCTGGAGTTCAAGGAATAAAAGGAGACAAGGTACTTATAAGGATGTATGATTAGAAGATGGATGCTCACATTTTTCAGTAACCTCCCCCTCCCCCCAGTATTTTGTGGTAAATTAATTGCTATGTATTTATTTGAGTCGTAGTTAAATTGTGGCTTTGAGCTGCGAAGGGGCTCCGCTGCTCTCCACAACAGCTTCCATATACGGATGCCTGGTTCAGCAGATTAGCTTTGTTAGCTTTATTTATTAGCTAAAATTGTCTTGGAGCCATTCCATACATTACAAAGACATGTGGAAGGCAGAGTTTTTCCTCCCTCACTGCTCTCTGCATTTCTTGTAACAAGTGATAACATACATCTTGCCCATGAGTAGTTCCAGGGGTCATATGGGTAAAAACGCATTATTCATTCCCTGTGCTACTTTTCTGGCTTCTCTGAGGTGCAGAAAGAGGCCTTCAGTAAGGGCTATGAGATGAATTCAGAAGCTGGTCTGCCCTTTAACTGATATATCAAGAATATATTTTCAGATTCTTGCTTCTTAATTAGTTTACTCCTAGTCCTTTGAAACTGTTCCTATTAAAAGTAATCCTTGAATTAGTTTTGTTGCAATTATTCAGTATATTTGAAAATACGTTTTTAAATTTTAGGGTGAAGCTGGACCACCAGGAAAAGAAGGAACAAAAGGATCATCAGGGATACCTGTATGTCTATGTTCTTGTAAATGTTTAATTACCTAATGTTTTTTGTAGGCATGAGGATACCTTGGAATTTTAAAGACAAAAGCAAATGGGGAAAATCTACCCTGTGGACTTTGCAGCCAACCAAGTTCTCCAACCCTGCCATTTGTCAGAGAATACATAAATACTGAGCTTGTAAAAATAGAAAAGAAAAAGACAATACTTTAAATGTTAGGTAAAATCCATTGTACACTTTGTACTGCATGTAAACTGAACTGGAAAACTTTCCTAGAAAAGGAAAGCTATTTCTTATCCCCAAAATCCTTTGAAAGAGTTGCGTGTGAGTTCTCAACAGGACACATGTCACCTACTTTTTAGGGAACTTGGATATGATTATTATTTCCATCATATTAAACTTTTTATAACTAAGAGGCGCCTCTGTTCTGATCTGTTAATAACTTCCACAAACTATTCTTTTTCCAAAGTGGATGGTATTAATCTTCAACAGATGGTAGGCCTCAAAGCATAGTTCAAACTTGATGGCAAGTGATGTTTCTATATTTTTATCCCTTTTTTGTGGGAATGGTTTTGGAGGATGCTTCCTTTTTAGGCTGATGTTTCAGTTTGCTTTACAGCTCTTGAGTTATGGATTCTGTGTAGATTATTGATGAGACTGTTAGCCTAGACCAGGATCCTTTTGGGAGTGATCTGAGCTAATGTAGTGCAGTGGCTCAGTCTCAGCTATGAGCTTCAAAGCTGTTGTCATTAGCAATGGAGACAGTGGCCTGGTACAGCCATGTGGTCTTGTAGCTAGTATTAGCAGGTGGAGATTGGAAGCAAGGCATGAGCTTGCAAATTGTTCCATCCTTTCCCTGGTTAATGTTAGCGGAGTGAATCATTTATATTTATGCTCCTGCTAGCTTTAAACATGAGTGAAAGCAGCTTATATTTTGTTGGTTTCGAAACTAGGCATGGTTATTACTCATGCAGACGGAACCACACTATGGTTATCACTATTGAGGGAGAGGGAATTCCTGGAGGATGGAAAGTAGCAAGCAAGCTTGCTGCCTGCTCCCAATATCCCAGTCAAGCTTAGGTTGCTAGCATTAAATGCACACCAAGTCAATAAGCAAGCCTACAGGTGTAGCACCTCCATGTGTACAGCAGGCATGGCATTTTGGGTCAGAATGAAAAACATGGTTTCACCAAAATAAATCAGACAGCTTTCTGAGCAGTAGCTTTAAAGCTGAAGTATTGTTTTACCAAAAATGCATAAAGCAGGAATAAGCAACACAAAACCTTCAAGTCAATCCATCCTGCCAATGCTTTCTATATCACTTTGGACACTCTGTGGCAGCTGACACATGGATCGTTTTTCTAGAGACAAAGGGGGACAGTTTTCTGTGGTAAAGAGCCTTAGGCTGTAGGCATGGTCTGTAGGTTTTATGTTTCCCACAAGTTTTATATCAGTTTATCTTATTTTACTGGTTGCTATTACCTTTGAAATGGCTTTGCTGCAGCTTTAGGTCTGCCATCTAATGCACTTTCTATTTTTCTAACATCTTAAGTGGTGATGGCTATTTTAGACCTAATAATTTAGTAAAATTAGTTTTCCAGAGGTCTTAATTCATGACCAGTTTTTTTTCTGTCTGCTCTTCCATGATAAGATGGAGTGTTCAACATGTGGAATATTTGAATGTTTTGAATAGAAGAAAGGGAAATCAACCAAATGTAGAGTGGGGTTTTTCTGATGTTAGTCATACACAGTGTGTTTCACAACAGGCAGAAGTCCTGTTGACAGTTTCTATAAAATACATTCAGGGAAATGTGTAATAAGTCATTGTTAAATAACAATTATACTAAGTATGATTGCCAAGTTCAGTCATTTATTGATTTATTGGCCAGCTTTGGAGAAGGAAGTAGTGATGGCATATTATCCTGTAATTATATATTGCTAAATAATTTGTTTTTGCTCAAGTTACATTACCTTAGCTATTAAATAGTTGCTTCATCATTTCTAGTCTTCATATGTGAAGCTTCCAAATACTACGCAGGCTAGTTTCAAAAACATTCCATAATTTAGATTTGTAGGCTTTCTAATGTTTCAGTGGCAGTTTAAAACATAAAACCTGTGAGAGAAACAATCTTTGTAGTTGATAATTTGGGAAACTAAGCGTCATAAAAGGTGGATGTGATACCATAGTTTAAATAGCATTTTGGACTTCATACTGTTTATTTCTTGATATATAATACTTGTTGGGGATTTAATGCAACAACTACAGATAGTTTGCGTATTTGTGGTCCTGACCAGTCAATCAGAAATATTGGAAAGAAATCCTGTGAAATACTAGCCTAAAATGAAGGCAGGTCTAGGTAAGTGAACCAGTCATCTGATGGCCCTGTGAGCAAAAGTAAACATTCTGACAGGTCTTCTTTCATAACCCAAAAGAAGAGATTAACTTTTTAGATGTCAATAGGAAAGGAGACAATTTTCTATTATCACAAGATGGGTTTAAATTTTTTAACTGATGTGTTTATCATAATACTCACTTAATTGTGGGATTAAATCCAACACATATGAAGCATCAGATACACTGTACTGCTAATGTTATGGCTACTATTTATAGTCTTGCTCCCAGCTGCCATCCCTTCTCCCTATATCAAGATGAAGGTCTTAGAGTTGTGTCTCTCTTATTTGTCATAACTAGATTTATATGTTAGTGCTTGACTGGGAAGTGTTTTTTCCCCTGGTTGTTTACATGTGACCTTGATTTTGGCATCTTAGGGCCTGCCTGGACCTGAGGGAACATCAGGTTTACCTGGAGGACCTGGGTCTAAGGTACATTTTGTGTTCCAACCTATGCAAAAATGCTGTTTGGTGCCTTGTAATGTTAATGTTTCCATACTGCATTGTTGAGAAACGGAGAGAAAATTAACACTTATTAGAACCTATAGATGGTGTAGCATGTTCTTTGGACCTATTCTAGATATCTTGCGGTCTCCTTAATTCATGTAAGATTTACGAACTTCTGAGGTGATTTTGTTATTACCAATGACTGAAACAAAAGTTCTGTTAATATATTGAAAGGGATAGTGAGAACTATGCTCCTGGCCCTGCCTCTTTGATCATGTGAACCCCCAGTTCTGCTTCCTGATACTTACTTGTTGAGATGAATCATGGGGAAACTTCATGCCTTCCATGGAAGATTACACACACGGAGGCTCCGTGCACAGGCTACTCTGTTATCCAGATGTCCGTGCATGAACAACAACCTTGACAGTATGATCAGTGGTATAAATCTGCTGCCTTACATGGACCCTTTCAGTGTAATTAAGGTGTGAAAGGTCTAAAGTTACAGACCAGAGCGTGAGCATTTTTACTTCACTGCCTCACATAATCACTTATTCTTTCTTGCCCACTAATTTATACTAGAGCTTCTGAGAAATCTCCAGCAGATTCAAATGGATTTGGACTTCTATAAATCTGACCTGCAGATTCCTCGGTGGACCACCTTCTTTTGAGCCATGCAGATTCTTCTGATATTTGGACCAGTTAAAAAAGAGGAGAGGAATTGCACAAATCTGTACTTGTGCTAATGAACCTTAGCACAAGTAGAATGAAATGCTCAAATCCCTAAAAAGAAAGAAGGAAGGAAGGATGGAAGGAAAAATCAGATTCAAAAGATGAGTGGATGATGGAATGAAAGCCACCAGAGAATCTGCAAAACACAGATAGAATTAAAAGGTTCTACCCTCAATTCACACTATTTATACTCAGTTCCCAACATTCTATTATATTTGTTGCTATTGGGAAATTTGTGAGGGGGACTAGTTCTAGAACCACAATAAAATGAATTATACAGCTGTTCAGTGTTATATGATGTGTAAACAGAGATTCTTAACATTCAGAATTCACAAAACGTTGAGCACCTTGCTAGCCCCAAACATAGTTTGAAAGATATTTTATTGAAGTCCTGTTTTATGTTGCTCTGTTAAGCAGTTATAATTGTTATATTCACAGGGCAGCAAGGGTGAACAAGGACTGCAAGGAAAATCAGGATTGCCAGGTGTCAAGGTAAATGTGGCTAAGTTTCAGTTTCTAATGATATCTCTAGGCATGATAATCCAGCTGATCAGTTCACATAAAGGTTGTGTGGTTGCTTTATGCCCAGTGCATCAATATACCCTTACTCCTTACAGAAGCTAAAAGATGTGGTTGCTAGAAAAACTAAGAGCCCTATTGGAAATCAGAATATAAGCCTGTTAGAGTTTGTTAACCAACACCCTTCTAAAGACATTAAGACATAGGCTCCCTGCTTATATGTAAGTTTCATTCATGATAATAGTCCTATGAGTGTGTGATATTATAGGTGAAAGTCCCAATGTAAACATGATCCCTCTCCTTTTTGCATGTAAAATCTCTCTGTCTCAAGCATAGTCCATCATTGCATCTACATTAAGGTTACCTCTGCTTGGTTTTAAAGTCTCTACAGTTCCCCATGATGTGCAGATGTACAGTACTTCATTTAAACTGTGGTCATTCGTAACAAACCAGATTCAAACCTAGTTTTCACATAATTGTAGGTTTTCAAAGAATAAGGTTAACAAACCACCATTTCCTTAGTGTGGACATGTAGTTGAAAATGGCTTCTCCTGGAAAGAGAAGGAGATTTAAACATGCGAGCATGGGGCATCACACAGTTTGTTCTTGAAGCCTGATACCATGGTGTCCTATCAAAAACTGAACTGAGCTGTTGTGCCCTCACATGTAAACACTTTGGTTATTTAACATGGATAGGTATTAAAGAAAACATTTGTCTGTGGACTAGAAGTAATGGACAGAACTGTCTGCTTCCAAACCAGTTTCTACCAAGGTAACATAAATAAGGATGCGGATGATGGATAGGTAGGGGGGAATCCAAAGCAAGGGGGTGCTTAACCCTTTGCTCACCAGTGTTTCCTTACAAATACCCTTTCCCTTATATTTAGGAAGCAGTTGCAAGCCTGGGAGTCCCATGGTGCCTCATAATATGTAACTTTACCAAGTGACACAAATCTGTTTCATATCAGTGAAATGCCATTCTGGGCCCTTAAAACCAGGGGGGTAGAACCACAGGTCTGGGGGTGAATCTGGCCCTTTACGGCTCCCTTCCCTTGGCCCCACCTTTTCTTTCAAAGACACCTGGCTTTTTCTGGTGTCCCCTTTCTAAAAGTTTGACATGCCCCTCCCAAGTCTTAATTCCTGGCAGTAGGTAAGAACTTTAAGCTACACTATGCCAGTCATTCAGCCCTACCCTTTTATCATCAGTCCTTCATACCACTGGAACATGGCCCTGAAGGCTTCTCCAGAATGTAATGCAGCCCTGAGGCTGAAAAAGTTCTGCACCTCTGCTTAAAACTTAAGAAGTCCAGTGGGGGCGTCATGCACAGAAGGACTTGTCAACTGTACAGCTTCTTTTACACATAGAAACATAGAGAGTCGGAAGGGGCCTCCTGGGCCATCTAGTCTGGCCCCCGGCTCCAGCTGACTCCACTCACGACGTGCCCACCATGTGCATGTCTAGCCTATCCTTGAACACCCTCACCGATGGGGCCTCCACCACCTCCTGTGGAAGCCCATTCCATACCTCGGGGTCCTAACTGTCAGGAAGTACTTCCTGGCATCTAAATTGAACCTTGGTTCCCTGAGCTTCACTCGTTGGAGCGCGTCCTTCCCTCCTCTCTATTAGCTTGAATTGAAAATTCTTTGGTTGAGCACTTTTAACATTTGGGAATTTAAATAGATTTTATTCTTGAGCAAAATTGTAGAGTAATTTAAAACAGGGATGGGCTGTTTCTGGACTTCAGCTCTCATATTCCCTCACTATTATCTATGCTGGCAAGGGCTGATGGGAGTTGCAGTTCAGAAACATCTGGAGAAACACAAATTTCCCATCCTTCATTTTATTTGTTTGTTTGTTTAAATCCAGTTTTGGAAGAAGTAGCTTGCATCCAGTAGCACAAAGCATCTATAACTTGCAGAATGCCTGCAGTTAACCTAGTGCATTGTGAAATCCGGTACTTCAATTCCACTTCCACAAGCCGTTGCACAAGCCTCTGTGCAAGCCATTGTACAACACAGTGCTATTTCACAAATAATCACGATGTTGCACAATTCAATATGACTTTATTAGTTGTGCTGGTTCTGATAATGGTTGTGCAACCTCTAGCAGAACAATGCCAACTCCTGCAATTTTCCTGAGTGTAACACTGGGTATAACCCAGTGATTTAGCTACATGTAATCTGTGATCTGTAGCTTTGGGTAAAGTATTTCAGTATCCATAATGATAAATGAACATTTTCAGTGTAGTAAGAAAAGCACTGAAAAGAGAAGTAAGCGCGAGGATGATTTTTCATTAGGCTGACTACATTTACAAGTCAGTCTATGCGTTTCTACTTGGTTAACTTTGTATAGGATTTCAGTTTAAGTATGACAAAAACAAAGCATAGACTTTAATCATATATTGTATAATCTCAGATTTATGGAGCTGTTGTTTATTCAGGGAGAACAAGGGAGACCAGGTGCATCGGGTGAACCAGGCTATCCCGGGATACCTGGCACACAGGGGTTGAAGGTATGTCTGCTGCCATTTCATAAGTCTGAACAAAATACTGCATTGGGAAGATACTTAAAGACATCTCACCCCCAGTCTTGAGAGTTATTTGAATGGGTGATGCTTTCTTTATCAAACCAGTCAATTTTTACTGAGTGCGCGTGTCTGTATGTGTGAGGCAGTGGTGGTGTGGGGGAACTTGGAGGTTATTACAGCCAGTATGGAAAGCATTTTATGATTTAGAATTGCATGTTTTTCATTGTTTTCAGTTAGAAAAACAACAATTGAAAACTTGAAACATGTGAGAAAAAGATCTCAGTGTGTTCATTTTGGGAATTTTCAGCATCATAAAAAGCACATAGTGGGTTCTTAATTCAAATCACATTTTAGACTCAATGTTATTTAGTTCTTGTCTTTTAATACTTGTTGGAAATGTAATTCGGGTATGCATAAATGTAAAAAAAAGTTATGGCAATAAGGGCATTAGGTGGAACAAGAGAAAAGAGAGCCACAATTAGTCACTATGTGATTTCAAAGAGAAGAATAGATGGAGAACTAATTGTCCAAGATTGTACAGGAAAATCATACATCCATGGACATTTTAGATTAGTGAGACTTCTACTGTCTATTATGGAAGCAGGACAGGATCTTGTAAAGTAATATTTGCAGTTCACAGTAAGTGATTTCTAGGAATGGCTTTTATATTTTGTAGTCTTTTGATCATTGTCTTTTGATAATGTTGGTCTTACCAAGAGTAGCAGTGAGAATGTAAGGACAGTTATGCTATGTTGGATGTTGATGATTTCTTATGAGGCTACCTTCCTCAAGAATCTTTGACCAAAAAGCAGGTTATACATATTTTAAATAAATAGGGCTCGATCCAAAAATCTGAGAATGGAAGAAAATACTGGCTTTGGTGTGGCATCACAAATTTTTGTGCAGAAGACATTGTGAGATGTGTGAGAGAATGCCCGGTGCCTTGTCCTAGCACACATCTTGAGACACTGTGAAAGAGTTTGTGCAAGTGGTTGCATATTGTTTTGCACAAATGGAACCACAGAAATGAATTTAAGTTATCTTTTCTCACACAAGGAATTTACACTGTCATAAAAACACCTTTTTTTTCTGTGTGGAAAGACTTCTCCAGCTCTAAGCGATAGGGCTTTTTAAAGTATAGAAAGTTGCAGATATGTTGTTCTAATGTCTGTCTTTAGTCATTTATTTCACTTCTATTTATATATAGATTGTAAACTAGAATAATTGTAAATGATATTTTAATGAAAGATGATGCTTTTTTACTTTCAGGGAGAGAAAGGAAATCAGGGTGCAAAAGGCATCCAGGTATGTTACCTTTTCAATATTTAAAATACTCAGGAATATATGTTAAATGTTAAGGGTACTCTTTATATATCAGTATTTTAACTTCTGTAATAATTGGTCTTAACAAATACACCAGAGATTGGGTAGCCCAGTGGCCATACAAAGCCCATAATGGCTTCACAACCATCATGGAACAGCCATGGCACATGAATGAGTCTGGATATATGTTGCCCACAGCCTAATCCAAAGTAAGACCTAAAAATAGGCTAGTCATTTCTCTCTGGAAAAAAATAAAATAAATTCTTATGGCGGTAACAACACAAACACATCCTAATAACCTATTCATATTTCTGGATATAGACTTAAACCAATTACTAAACCAATTCACCATCCCAATTATTAAGAAGTATATTGAACCCTTATTGGTTTCCCCACATCTGTTCTTGGCTCTGAGGGACTGCTTCTCCTGGATGACCCTGCTTGTCTTCTTGATGGGAATCTTAGGTCCCTTTCTTGGTCCTTCCACCATTAATGGTTGAGCTTGATAGCAGCAAGAGAGAGGCTTTTGCTGCAGTGACAATTTGTGTACACCTGCTTTCTGTTTTCATGGCATTAAAAATCTGCTGCTGTGCTCTTCGCTTAAGTACTCCTTATAAGCAAGCTGATTTTAATTTTGGGACTTTCCTTATTTGCTTGGAGTTTGACAAATTATAAACAGATGATGTTTCATATGATTTTATGACTTCTCAAATTATACATCACTGTGAACATTATAACTTGGAAAAATAGGGTGTAACTCCTTTTAATAAATAAATTAATGCAAATCTGTGCATCTTAAGATACTTAGACTAAGTTAAAAGTGACCCATTTCAGTGAGGCTTCAATGTTTATAACTAAATCTGTATCCAACCAAATAGGGTTTTTCATATAATGAAATATTTATTGTAAAATGGGCTCTATTTCTTCTTTTTTTAAGGGTCAGAAGGGAGAAAGTGGGAGAACAGGTGCTCCAGGCCAAAAGGTACAATAAATTGTTTTGTTTAAAATTTGAGCCTTTGTTGCTTTTTCAGAGGGCACATGGACATACTTAAATAGTTACTGTATATGAACCATTTAAATATTTTAATGCAATAAAATGTGTATAAAATCTGCATGCTCATAATCTTGTCTAGATGCCTCTTCAAGCAAATTTGATATGCAGCAGCTCCTCTAATGTTGAATTAATGTAGCTGACTATATCCTTAAAAATGCTTCTCCTGTAATAGACAATAGCCTGAAAGAGAGGGTACACAGACTGCTAGCAAGACTGCAGTACCTGCAGAAGAGATGGAGATCGAGTGGAAGGGGAGGAAGCCATTTTTGCTGACCTGCAGCTTCCTGTGCCTCCTTCCACACTTTTCTGGGGGTCTCTCTGTACTCCAGGGCACCTTTTTAGGGAAGGCAGTTGTAAGGAAAATAGTGTCTCCCAACATCCTGCAGCAGGAGTTCACTCACAGTATCCAGTCCTGGGTGCTTATTTCTGAACTGGTACTATCTTTCTCTTCTTAAAATTGCAGAGTTAATTTTTCAGGGCCATGCCCCACCCCAAACAAAAACAACAACAAAACACCAGTCATGGTCTAATAAATCATCATCAATAGCTCTTCTAAATATCTAGATGCTTGATAACCCTGGACCTGTTTGTATGATACAATATTTTAACAAACATTTTTTACTTTTTATAGTTTTACCTTTTGTGAATAGAAAAAGATACATCTTCACAATAACTCATAATGTGTTCTATAATTTTGATTTCAAAAGGGAGCTATGGGATTAAATGGAGCTGAAGGGCAGGTATGTATGTGCAGTTATTTTTATACTCCCTGAAAATTATTGTCCCTTTCTTTTTCACCTGCATAATCTTAGCATGTCTTTTGTACTGGCTTGTGCTAGTGATTTTTCTGCTGGCCTGAATGTATGTTATTTGTCTTAAGAACTCATGGGTATATGCTTTTAATACATAATAATGAGTAGGCTGTTAGATCACAACCCCTAATTTTCAGTAATATGCTTTGGAAAGAAGTTGAGATTGTAGGTTGCAGCCATCTGGTGGTAGAATGGAAACCATTGGTAGATTGGATTGGTCCTTCTCCCTGTATGCCCCCCTAATTTGCTTGGGAGGGCTGAGGGACCACAGCAGGAAGGAAAGTATGGGGAAGTTCTGTTGCATGAGTGGACATCTGCTTGCACTATATTGTATTTAAGCCGATGTGAATGGTTGTCAAAGATAATTTTCCATTCCCTTGCTTTGTGAGTATAAATGTTCTGGAAGACCATTTCAGATCAAAAGATGGATGGGAAGCAACTCAGATATACTTCTGATTTTATACAATTATTGTCTTTGTTTCATGAAATTAATTATTGTATAGAAAATTACTGAAAACATGATGAAAACAATAGATATAAGCAAATCAGCCCTAAACAGGAATATAATCATTATATCTTTTATAAGGTAATATATAATGGATGATCATACAGTTAGTAAATTAGGTAGTTAAATGTGGAAATCAAATAGTAACGAAGAATAACAAAATAATGCAAATAAAATAGCACAATAAAAGGGAAAATAATAGGAAATTGGAGGCTGGGGTTTGGAGTATTGTGGCAGGAGATTCATCATGCCCAAAGTCTTGCAGCCACCCACTGGCCAGGGAAGGAGGTGGAGAGCACTGGTTTATTTTTATTTCCTGGTGCAAATATGGGAGAGAAATTTCTTCAGATGGCTCAAGGCTGGTGAAGGTGAGGGGCCCAATGCGGCCGTTTCCTAGGGGAGCAAGGGGCTATTTCCAGAATGTCACATTTTGGGGCCTCCCAGCAGTGGCAACACAGTCCTGTGCTTGTGTAGCTTCACAGCCCATGCCACCAACAAGGAGACCTTCTTCCTTATGTTATTCCCCCTCAACCAGACTATGGTATGCGTTAGGATGGCTCTTCAGGTCTGCCCACAGAAATTTGTGACGTATCGCAATATAATTTTGTTTTAGAGATTAATTCCAGCATACTTTAACATACACTTCCCACTCAAATGTAATTCTTCTTTGCCTTTCTTAAGAGGCAACTAATGCAGCACAGATGAATGAATAAACTGGAGCAATTTCACAGCAGATGAAGTACAAGTTTCCTGGAGTTCCTCAGTCTTCTCTAAGGCGGTCTGTGCCTTAGGTGACAGTCCAGGAAGTTGGAGATGGTTTACAAAGCATTTAGAATTCCCAGCTACAATGGCAGAGGCCAGTCATATGAGCAAGAATACGTTGATCTTCTCAAATGGTGGTACATTTCAATTCCCAGGCATTTGTGATAAAATTAATAGGCTGGGTATTTGTTTGGTTCTATAATGTAAGGATGGAGAGATGAAATTCAAATGCTTGTGTACTCTTATAAGTGTCTAGGCTGACCCAATAAACTCTGACAGAACAGAGCAACTACGGGGTGACATTGCATTCTTTTGCTCAGTGAGTTGAAAGGACTTCCATTGATGAAATGAGGCTTCTGCTTATGGGAACACCCGTGCTGCTTTCATCCCTTGAATGTTGGATGCCCCCCTCTGGTGTTGACCTGCTAAGAGCAAGTGTTACAGAATAGGTCAAATATTCATATTTTATTGTATGAAGCAGTTGTTTAAAAGGATTGTGAACTTTGAAATAAATCCACAGGATCAAAGTACAGTCAAATGCAAAGAAATGCAGCTTGTTCTTACAAGGATGGAATTGACTGTTAGTCCACACAGCTTGTACAACATCCCCTTTGTTTTCAGTGAACCAGATGGCCAACAGCAATGCTTGATCATGTATAATTTGTTTGTTTGTCTTCCCTTAGCAAAACTCTCAGCACAATGCAATGACTACTCAAGTCCAAAACAAAAATTACTTTTAATCCATATCTAGCAATGATGTCTTTTTTCCATTTTTAGGCCAGTTAGGTGGAGGGCCTCAATCTGGATCTCTAAAAGTCACCACATCTTCCCTAAACTAGTGGCCCAGTCTGGATTGGGCCCTCTCCACCTTCTAGAATAAAAAACGAAAGCAATTTGAGACATAATTACATTAATGCCTGCTTTAGCTCACAGAAGTTCAAATTAGAGTGGGAAGGGGACATTTCGACCCCAGAGTCCAACCTTGTCACCCTGCTCAGTGTAGCAATCCGGTCCCTGACTGATGGCTGTCTGGTCTGCTTGAGTATGTGGAACAAGGGGGACTCATTGCCTTTCTAGATAGTGGGTTTGTTGTCTGGCGGTTCTGTTAGGAAGTTTTCCTGATACTCAGCTGAAATCTGCCTTCTTGTTAGTTCTGTTTATTTTATGACTTCCATAGATGATAGAGAATACATTACTGCCCTCTTCTGTGTGATAGTCCTTTAGGTACTTGAAGCAAGCTTTCCTCTCCCCACCCCCCCCCACCCCATCTTCTCTCTTCAAGGGTAAACATGCCCAGTTCCTTTGGAGAGGTAGCAGCTTCACTGAGGTTGTGGTCAAGTGTGTGTGTCCCTGTGGACTAGGAATGCAAACCTATAGACCCTTGTTGTGTGCATATTCTGTTAAACAAATGCTTGTGATAAATTTTAAAATTATTTTATATTGTGAAGAACACCATATTCTTATTTTCAGGTTTTACCTTAATGCTGCTTGTTGCAACATTTTAATATAGAATATGTTTTAATGCCCCCCTTTTGGTATCTGTAACAAGTTTCATTTGAAAAAGCAAACAAACTTGGCTTATTTTGCTTCCACCAAACAGTAATGGCTGGCCATCAAAGTCATGAGCAGGATGTTGTTGGCTCAGGAGTAAAAATATGCTCCTTGAAAAGTTATTTCAGCTAACTGTTTGCCATATTCTGCAAGTTGTTGCAGTTTTCAGTCACAGAGCTCACAGTGAATACTATTTTATTTTCAGTAATTTCAAAATACCTTCCTAAGATTTTCCACTAGCCAATAAATAGCTTAAAGGAGAAAGACTATTCACTGATGCAAGAGTGGCATTACTATCTATGACTATGTGTTTATGCTTACTTTCACTATCTTGCTTTGTTGTTGTTCCTTCAAAGAGAGCAAAAGAAAGAGGGTGAAAATGCTTTATTCCATTGCAATTAACATGAGAAAAGTGTCCAGATCAGTGTAAGTCATGGTTCAACACACTTTAATCAGTGAACGTAAGCACATTTGACTCCACGTTATCCAGTAGCCAGAATGTTCAGATTCTTTTAGGAGGCACCTACTCAGTTGCTTGAAACATAAAAAGGCACAGAATATACACAGAATATACTAGCACAGAATATACTATTTGGGTAACAAAATGTGCTGCTAAAACATTTTGTTGTCTTTTTGGTTTGTGAAGTGACCTTACTGCATAATGTACACACTTTCTGATAAGCCCATTAAAGCTGTGCTTCTGTGGTCTCTAGGATGTCCTCCCAGGGACCATAGAATATGCCAGATGTTCTCAGATCACTCTGCCCTTATGAAAATTTTACCTTGAAATTGCCATCCAGTTGTACAAACCTCCAGTTGGTGCTTCGCAACATTGAAGTGGGTTTGGGTAGGAAGTTCTGGAGGCATAGAATAGTGAAATTGCAAGGGCCATGAAGACCATCGGGTCCAGCCCCTGCTGTTGCAGGACACCAGTTTGCACCATCCCACTCATGGCTGTCCAGTTTCACCTTGAATGTCTCTAGTGTGGGAGAACCCACCACCTCTCTAGGCAGCTGGTTCCACTGTCGTATTGCTCTGACAGCGTGGAGGCTTTTCTTGATATCTAGCTTGAATCTGGGTTGTTGCACCTTGAGTTGATTATTCCATGTCCTACAATCTGGTATCAGTGAGATCTTTACCTTCCTCTTTGTGAAAGCCTTTGAGGTACATATAGAGGGAGATATGTCCCCCTCAGTCTTCTCTTCTTAAGGCTGAACATGTCCAATTGTCTCAGTTTCTGCTCAGAGGACCGTGTTTCTAAACCCTGGGTCATTTTTGTTGCCCTCCTCTGGACCCTTTCTACTTTTTCTGCATCTTTCTTAAATCTTGGTGTCCAGAACTGGACACAGTATTCCACATGAGGTCTGACTACTGAGGAGTATAGGGGAACTACTATTTCTAATGATTTGGAACTAATATTTCTATTATTGAATAGCATTTTCCCTTTTTGTAGCTGCATCACTTTGTAGGCTCATATTTAGCCCATTGTTCACAATTATTCCAGAGTCTTTTTCATTTTTGTTGAGCCATGTGTTCCCCATCTTGTATCAATCCATTTGGGTTCTTTTTCCAAGATGGAGGACTTAGCACTTGTCCCTATTGAATCTCATTCTGTTGCTTTCAACCCAGTGTTCAAGATTATCAAGATCACCCTGGATCTTCTTTCTGTCTTCTAGGGTGTTTACTATTCCACCCAGTTCTATATCATCTGCAGATTTGATTATCTTTACTTGTACCTAGTCATCTAAATTATTAAAGATGTTGAAGAGCACTGGGCCCAGGACTGAACCCTGCAGCACCCCACTAATTACCTCCATCCAGTTTGAGAAGGTGCCATTGATGAGTACTCTTTGTGCCCGATTTAGCAGCCAATTTTGGATCCATCTAACAGTTTTTCCATCTAGTCCACTTTTTGCTAATTTGCTTCTCAGAATGTCATGGGATACTATGTCAAAAGCTTTGCTAAAGTCTAGGTAGATTGTGTCCATGGTGTTCCCTCTGTCTGTTTGGGAGGTTACCCAGTCAAAAAATGAGATTCAGTTATTCTGACAGGATTTATTTTTGGTTGGCTTTTATTAATCACTGTATTTTCTTCAAGATGCTTGCAAACAGATTTTTTAATAATTTTCTCCAGAATTTTTCCAGGGATTGATGTCAGACTAACTGGTCTGTAGTTCCCAGGTTCATCTCCCCCCGCTTTTTTTTTTAAATAGGGACAACATTAGCCCTTCTCCAGTCATCTGGCATTTCTCCTGTTTTCCAAGATTTATCAAAGATAATAGCCAGTGGTTCTGAGACTTTCTCCGCTAGCTGTTTTATGACTCTGGGATGGAGTTCATTGGGCCCTGGAAATGTGAACGTGTTTATTCCATCTAGGTATTCCTTGACCATTTGTCTGTCAATCTTGGGCCACCACTTTCAGCTTGTACTTCTTCTTGGTTGTAGATTTTCTTGTGGGAGAAGATAGAGGTAAAGTAGGAATTGAGCAACTCTGCCTTTTCCTGTTGTCTGTTATCACCCTGCCATCCACTTTAGGCATGCTCAGAAGCAAGTCAGGCTGAAGGATTCTTAGTTTTTCTGATCTCCAGACACACTTCTGAAACAGCAGCAGGTCTTCACCATCCCTGGAGCTCGTACAGATTAATTGCACCTATTGAAATCAACTGGAAGAAAGTAGTATCTTAAGAAAGAGACCTAATAGGCAACTCCACCTTCCCTTCCACTTTGCTGGCTTGATCCTGGCTTTGGGTAAGGTAGGATCTCTGCTCTCAGATCTTCCCACACTGCCACATGCTTTTTGTGAATTCAGTTGTTGCTCATGGCAGTCGTTTTCTCTGATTTCAGAAAGGTGAAAAAGGAGATCCTGGCGTGAGTGGCCTCCATGGACAAAAGGGAGAACCTGGAGTTAATGGCTTCATTGGTCCACCAGGACCAAGGGGAGAGCAAGGAGAGAGGGGATCTCCAGGAACTCCTGGGTCAGATGGGAAACCTGTATGTATGCCAACCGACACACATCTTTTTGTTCTTGCCATCCAATTTAATTTTAAAATGAAAAATGTATCCTTTTTCTCCGTGTTCCATTCAGGGAAGAAGTTTTTCAGAAGAATTCATTCGGCAAGTTTGTGCAGATGTGCTAAGAAGTGAGTCCAGCAAATTGAAATCCGTTTCTGTTTTAGCTTATTGTTGGCCTACGGCAGCCTTCCCCAACCTGGTACCTCCCAGTGCTGCAGGGTGAAGCTCCAGCCAGCAATCAAGAATACTAAGAGCTGTGGACCAAAATGTTGAATGGCACTGTGTCGGAGAATTTTGTTCCACTAGGACAGCAGCTTATAAAGAACACATTGTGAGCCAGGATTCAGCCGGAACTTTAAATGGCTGAACTGAGTTAACACTTTTTAGCAATCTTATAAACTCTGAAGTTCAGTGGATTTCTGTTGGTGGTGACTTGCGCCCTCTTGGACTAAGCATTTTTGTTTGTTTTTTCCTTAGCCCAGTTGCCTACTATACTTCGGAATGGAAGACTACAACACTGTGATCACTGTCAATCTCATGCTGCTGCCCCAGGACCTCCCGGTCCAGCAGGCCCAGTTGGCCCTCAAGGTCCTCGAGGTTTTCCTGGCTTGCAAGGGAATGATGGGGCCCCGGGTTTGATAGGACCCCCCGGACGTCACGGATCACGAGGGCCAAAAGGTAACCGTATGGATATCTCACAAAGCACACTTCTCTTTTAAGCGTAGGCAGCTGTTCTGAACACGAATTGAACCAGGGTAGGGGTGGACTAGGATTGGAAAAAAAACCTGCAGGCACAATAACTATTTTTGAGTAGATGGATCCTTCTAGATTGCAGATGAATTAGGGGCAGGGGGGTTCTGTACTATGACTCTCTAGAATGTGAGACTATTTATAATGACCTAGACCTTTTCTACATGAGGCTTTTATTGTGTGCTCTCATTCCTCATTCACAATTGTTTAAAGGTGCTTTAGACAGTGTTTTTACTCTTCAGTTTCTGATTTAAGGGGAATGCTGGTAGGTTTTATTACAGAGGGGAAAAGTAGGGTTTTTGACATCTTGAAACAAAACTCAAGTTCCCACTAGTGTAATTGCATTTTCACAGTATCCCACAGCACCACCTAGAGGTTATATAGTGGAACAAATGGAAAGTCAGCAAAGGAAACACATTTTGGGGAGAGAGCTGATCTTAACTATGTAGTGTAATTGGAACAGATATATCTGCTAAGTCTAGAAAAGTTTCTATACCCTTTTTATTTCATGGCAGAATTGAATGAAATTTTCAGGCACCGTTGCCCATTTTGAGGGCAGAAGCCCTACCAAAGTTTAGACATGTAGATGCAGAGTGGTGGGAGTAGGTGGGGTCTTTTAAGTTGATGACTGCTATGGGAAGCATGGCAAAGGACAAGAAAACTTCTCAAAAGACCTCCTAAGTGTTCAAAGTGCAGGTAGGGGGTTGAGCCCCAACACATTCGATTCTTCCTTTGAACTCACAGCTGCTAGCAGCAACAGAAATCTCTTTTACAGCAAACTTGGCAGCTGGAAAGAAAATGTGTTTTGTTTTTTTTAAAGTGAGAGAGATGGGGCACCAAGAAAAGTCTTTGTGGGTGCACTGGTGCCTATGAATACCACTTTGCCTACTTCTGGATTATGGCCATGACTACATCTCAATTGTGTTCAGACTTGAGATCAGACACATTTGACTAACAAGTTTCTGAGCAGCACTGAAAGTACTGGGTACTTTTCTATAGTTTTCAAACCCAGTGAAGGAATACTTACACATGCACGCACACACACACCCTGCAATGGTGCCTGGAAAAAGATTTTTTAAAATGTGCTAACCCCAAACTAAAAGCCCTGTGCTATAAGATAATCATTGTGCTAAAATGGCTGCATGTAATTGTTTATTGTTAACAGAAAGATTATATTAGCACAATAACTTGAAGAGCATGAGCAATATTTATTCCATGTAGTTAGTATTTTCAATTCCTAATAATTTCATGCTTTAGTCTCATGAATTATATTCCTTGGATACTGAATCAGGAAGAATGTCAGCGATACCATCCTTGGGCCATTGCAGTCTGGGCTTGCTTTCTGCTCAGTGCAGGACTCCAGGTTAAACCATCCCTCTCAGAGGGCTGTCCAGCTACATCCTGAATGCTTCTAGTGTGGGAGAGTCCACAACCTCCCTAGGTAATTGGTTATATTGTAGTACTGTTCTAACAGGAAATTATTCCTGATATCTACCCTGAATCTGGTTTCTTGCAACCTGAGTTCATTATTTCATGTCCTACACTCTGCAATGACTGAGAAGAGATCCTGTCCTTCCTCGTTGTTACAAACTTTCAAGTACTTGAATGCTATCATATCACCTCTCCTCTCCTCTCCTCTCAAGGCAAAACAGACCCAGTAGTAGTCACTTTCCTCAAAGGTTTACATAGTAAAGAGAGCCAATGTAGCATGATGATTTGAGTCTTGAACTGGGTACCTGGAAGACCCAGGTTCTAGTCTCCATGCAGCCATGAAGTTCACTGGCTGACTTTGGACTAGTCACAGACTCTCCGCCTAACCTACTTCACAGGGTTGCTTTTGTGAGGACAAAATGGAGTAGAGGAGGACTATTTAAGCTGCCTTGAATTCCTCACAAAAGGAAAAAGCTGTGATATAAATGCAATGTAATAATAGTGATATTTTGTGAACCTCCTTCTCCAACATTCCAGTGAAGACCTTTTCAAATACTCTACTTGCCTTCCTTGTCATGGTCTTCCAATGTATACATAAACTACCAGATGACTCTAAGCACATCTTTAACTAAACTATGTAGTCTGAAAACATAAACAGGATAATTAAACTATGCAGTCTGGTGCAAATTTTTGTTTATTTTTTTTCCAGGTATTTCATTTGATGATACACAACCTTAAATGCATGTGAAATCATGTTTCCATGCTGAATCAACTCACTGAGCATCCTCCTAGCTTCTGTCATTTCAATAATTATTTTATTTATGTATTGCTTTAAAACTCTACCTTCCTCCAGGAAACTCAGAGTTTTCCTTCCCCAGTTTATCCTGTCATTAATCCTGTGAGGCAGGGAATTAATGATAATCCAGGCATCCAGTGACTCATGGCCAAATAAGGAGTTTTCAGGTGGGTCTCTGGATCTTTAACCATTACATGCAGGCTATCTAGTTCTACATTTCCATTCTTACACATTAGTTGAATTTATTCCAAATTGTGAAAGCTTCTGACCTGTTTTTTTTTCCTGAATTAAAGGTGTTTCCTGATTGAAAGGAGGCAACACCCGCAGGGTTATGCAGACAGCCTCTTTTGAGCCTTTATGTCTGCTTTGGAAGTTACACAATGTCCATATCATACCAGATGCAAAAAGACAGCTGAATTACCACCACCATCAACACATCACTCATTGATTAGATGGAGGCAGGACCAAACAATTCCATCAGCCAGAAACTGAGTCTTGAATTCATTTTTCAGAACCTTAGTTTGCCTTCGTGCACAGTTTGGGAATGACTGACTGACGATGTACGTGTCTCTGGTACCTTGCAGGAACACCAGGAAAAAATGGAGCTAAAGGAAGCCAAGGAATTGGAGTCCCTGGAATGCAGGGTCCTCCAGGACCTCCAGGTATTGTTTGGCAAGCCCAATTTTTGTGTTTTATTATTGTGGAGCTACATCTTCTGAAGATGTATCCCTTAGCTGAATCCCTCATACTTTGGTTACATAGAATACAGGAGTGGAGACCCTCAAGCTTGCAGAGATTTTTTTCCTCAGGAGCTGTTCCCTCTTTACTTGGAATGCCTGAAGTTACCTCCAATCGCTGATGAGAAGGATTCATGTTGCTGGCAGACAGGGGGCTGCCCCCTGATGCAAACCAGCTGCCAGATTGGCTCGGGGGAAATTTTATCCCCAGGATCAAGAATCTTGTCCCCTGCTCCTGTTTTAGTGGTACTCTTTTGGCACGACATCATCCAGTCATCAAGATTATAGTGTGAAAGTGGTCGCTTTATGCAGAGGAGATACAATACTGCTTTCTTGTTTGGTAGCTCTATCTTCTAAAGCCTCATGGCTGATCAGGGCTGCAGTTGAAGGGCACATAAAACTAACAATGGTTTTTCCTTGTAATTTGGCTTTGTACCCCAAGGTAGAAGACTTACTTTCTCTTAGGAAGAGCCCCAAAGAATGGTAGTTGTTAGCTTTCAATTGAAAGAGGCCCTTTTACGTCGAGATCTTCTCAAGCACTGATAAAATTTCAAGTAGTTGGAGGTTAAGCCCTTTCCTGCAGCTTTAGTGTGTTACATAGAAACATGGAAACAGAGTGAGTCAGAAGGGGTCTCCTGGGTCATCTAGTCTGACCCCCAGCTCCAGCCAGCTCCACTCATGACATTCCGACCATGTGTATGCCTAGCCTATCCTTGAACACCCTCACCAATGGGGCTTCAGTCATTTCCCATGGAAACCCATTCCATACCCTTGGGGTCCTAGCTGTCAGGAAGTACTTCCTGGCATCCAAATTGAACCTCGGGTCCCTCCTGGCACATTCTAAACTGCAGGTCCATTGACATGACATTGGCTAGTAAATTCCAAGGCACACAATGTTCCTCCTTGCCTAGCCATCTGGTCATAGACAGCCTTGCTGTGCTCTGTCACTCATTTTTCCTTATCGCTTTCTGTTTTTCAATCTGGGGGAGACTTTTCAATTGGTGACAGCACAGATGTGCCAGGGAAGCTGCCCCAAAATGAAGCAAGAAGCATCTCAGCCAGGATGGCTGGAATGTGCAGCTGTGTTACTGCTAGTGTCAAGTGAGGAGTGTCCTTGTGACATCCCTGGCTGCTGGCATAGGCTCCTAAACAAGGCTTAGGCCCTGTTCACGCATGATTCATGCCGGTGACTTAAAATTGAGGCTATCAAAATGCTTTAATTATTTAAAAGACCCAGCCTGGTGGGGTGGATCAGGCTACAAATTTTCATTCCATTGTAATGTTGTATGGATACTAAACATTCCCCATGTATTATCCCATATGTTGTTAAGGTCCTGAAGGCCCACCTGGCGTAAGTAAAGAAGGACCTCCAGGAGCACGTGGGGAACCAGGGAAAGATGGTGACCGTGGAAATCCTGGAATTCCTGGACAAACTGGACCACCTGGAATTTGTGACCCTTCTTTATGCTTCAGTGTAATTGTAGGAAGAGATCCATTTAGAAAGGGACCAAATTATTAATCTGGGTCTGTGACAGTGGCAGACTAGCCTGGTGCTTGCCTTTTATGATTTTTCAAGTCTCAGGAAGAAGACTGGCAATAATCCCATTTTCTAGGAATTAAAGTACCTCTGATGTGTAAAGTAATATGGTAAAATATTCCATATTCAGTTTAAGTCTCTAAACATGTGGGGCCTACAGACTGATTAAACCTCTGAGCCCTGATCTAGTTAAACTTAGTTATCACTGCCCTTTTGAAATGACAAAAAATTAAGTCCCATTGCTCTGAATCATGGCAAACTTCAGCTGGATTGGGGCTCTGATCTCCAGGAAAGAGTGCATTGAAGCCTATAATTTTGCCCTGTGACACTTCCCTTTGAAGTCCACTGGCATTTAAAAAAAAATGTCAAAAGCAGAATTGGGCCTTTGGTACTTGGTGATCAGGTCTAAATCACTGTGAAATACTTTTAATTAATCCCATATATGCCATATGGATGTAGCCCTCCAGATGATTTGATTACAACTCCCATCAGCCCTAGCCAAAATAGCCAATTATGAGGAATGATGGGAGTTATAAGCCAAAACATCTGAGGGGCCACAGGTTGTCTTCCCTGGATATACAGTGTCTTAATTTTAATAGTACATGGCTACTTGTTATTTTCTATGTTTGTGAAGTTCTTTCAATTGTATCTGGTTCATATTTCACTGGTTGCAGGTTTCTTTTGAGAAATGCATACACTAAAGATTTTGTGTTCATCATTAATTTAACATCAGACATTTTCATGCAGTTACATTGCCCTTAATGAATTCATGCAAAAATTCAATTAGACATTTCCAATCTCTAGGGACACCTTAAACCAGGGGTCTCAAACTCAATTTACCCGGGGGCCTCTGGAAGTAGAGTCTGGGTGAGGCTGGGCCGCATCAAGTATTCCACCACCGCGGTGGGGGTGGGCCGCTCATCCCGCGTCGCTCTCGGAAGCCGGCCCGGGTGCCGCCAGCGCTTTGGAGGCCGCAGGGCCCCTTCCCCGTGCCCCACCTGTCCCGGCCATTGACCCGTGGGCTGCGAGTTTGAGACCCCTGCCTTAAACAATTAAAAATACATCGTAAAGCAACTGTTTTCTGACTATGGTCTGGCAAAGCTTTTCTTAAAAAACAAAACTTTGCACAATAAAACTGTATTTAATTTTTTTTTAGCCTGACTATAGATCTTGGTGCCATTTTTGCTATGCTCCATAGGACTGCAGTTGTCAAACAGAAGTTTACAAGATATGCTTTATGCTTATTACATAACGGAAGTGTTTGTTATGCTACTTCTTTGTGCATTTTAAGCAAGGCATTTCTTTGTTCATTTTGTAATATGAGATGCAATCAAGAAGCACTGCTGGCAACTTTATCAACTCAGTTGTACAATTTCCATAAAAGATTGAATCCATTTTAACTATTAATGGAAAGTGAGTGTTACTGAAGCTTTTCAAAACTTTATAACTGGCCCTTTGTTGTTGTTTTTTCCATCATTTGTAAGGTGCTTGACATTCAAGGTAAAATAAATTTTTACAGAAATTGTTATAATAATAGTCATTTTTATTAATGCAGGGTTTTGTTTGTTTTGTTTTGCTTGTTGAGCTGCCTTCTTTTGCAAGACTTTACTTGAGAAACTCATTTTTCCAAAGGATTATCTCCTGTTTGATCATCCCTGGATATGATCCAAAGCATGCCTGTATGGAACCCCCATTGTCTTATCCAGGGATATGTTTTGCATGGATATGTTTTGCATGCACATGGATATGTCCAGTTGTGCCCACAAAGTATTCATCTTATTGTAGAAAGGAAGGTATAGTATGCAAACATGGCCCTAAGCACTCCACTGAGAAACTGATTTGTCATCTTATATAGCACAGGAGGAAATAGTTCAAAAAGATAGAAACTAACTTTCATTAAGTCAACATTCCTGATGCATCAAGATATTTGTAATGAATTATATTTTCTGCTGCATTAATGTAGCATGTTATGAGGCAGGAGGGACTAGACTTCTATACTAGATTTGTGAGATCTTTATTCTCTACTAGAATTCTAGGGGCCACCAACTGGAAACAGATGTGGAAGGCACACACAGAATTAAATGCTTTCTAGCCTAGGAATTAGTTACGATTATCAGAAGTGATCCTCATAGTCCTTTCACATAATTGTTGTTACCATATTTTTATCCATGTCAGCAGTATAATGTGGGAGGGGTCATTTTGTTTCTATTACTAAACAAGTGGCAGTCAGAAATCCTTGAAAGGCTGCTGCAAATCATTCCCCAACAGACCAGGTCTGCCTTTTGCTCACCTCTAAAAGAAAAAGAAAAACACCCTGGCTGTAATGTGATGGGTGCCTTCAAGCCCCTTCCTGCCAGATGCTAGCTGAGCTGCTTGGATATCAGGGAACACTGTACAAACGTTTTAATTACTCATGGAAAGGTAATATCAATAGAAAATGAGTCAGCACATAGTGATTCTGCAGAGATATAGGGAAAAATGGGTAGGGGTGGTCAAAAGGTCTATTTCAATTTGCAAATAAACTCTGAATGAAACAAATGCATTTTTGGGAAAAGCTGACACAATACTGAACTTGAATTACCCTTAAAATATGTTTTATGGTCATTTTATACATGTGCACACACACAAATGCATGCATGTTCACACTTCAGTACATACAGGGAAATGCATAGCTTTGAAAAGCATATACAGATATGTGTGCTTCCCTCAGAAAAAGGAAAAATAAGTTGCAAACAAAAATGGGAGCAAGAGGTTAGGAGAAGCCTGGTGAACTGGAGCATCCCTGGTGCTCTCATCCCATAGAGGGGATGGGGAAGGCAGAGGCCTAAAAGGGAGAATGGGAAAGAAAGGAAACTGAGAAACAGAAGGACCAAAGGGAAAGGGATTCTAGATAAACTGCACGCAGCCTATAGACAGGATTTGCTATATGCTGGGAAGGAGTAAAAAGTGCACAGGCAGTGGCCAAAAGTATTTCCAGGCCGGAAAGCACTGAGAAATTGAATTTCATATACCATGGATTCAAACTGACTAGGTGAATTCTTGTCTGTAAGCTTCTGTCTGTTATTACAAAGAAATCTAAAAAGACTCAAGAGTTACAATTTCATTGAAATGCAAAAAGAAAACATACATACTACAAAACATAAGTATTTGTAGGTTTCTGACTGTTGCTGTTTTTATACTGATCAGGAATTTTATGGGGTTCTTAGTTTTAGTATAAATTAATAATTTTTAACTGTCATTATATCTGAAACTTCAGGTTTATAAAATGTCCTTCAGGTTTATCGATGAAGCTTTTATTTTATCTTGGAAAAAATAAGTTGTCTGGTTCTGGTTTTCCCTCAGTATTGTCCCCTGAAATTGCTAAGTCTTTATACTTAAAAAAAAATCCCCATTTCCCAACTTTGGCCAAAGTAAAAGATACTTGCTACAGATGCTTCATGTTATTTCATAGGAGATATCCAGCAGGTGGCAGCAGAACAAAACACTTTGGCATTGATTATATTCCATGAATTTAATTGTCTTCAATAATTTAAATAATGTTCTTGGTTGTGGTTTAGAGACAGACAATTTTTCCTCAGGGCAGTGAGATCAGCATACTCATACAGGACTCTCAACAGATGATAAAGCAAAATTCTTATATGATTAAAATAATCTAGAAGTATCTATGATACACATTGGGACTGCTGCTTATATTTAGGATTGTTCTAAGTGCCTTTTAAAGTTATCTTATGTTTAGATTTCTTATGGAAAGGTAGAGACAACACAATGTCCCAGATGTATGTTTGCTGTCAGGGTCAGTTACTTAAGGTTGACTGATTGTATTCTCTGCCTGCTGAACGCTAACTATATTAGAAACAATCACACCATATCTTTATGTTTTCAACAAAGAATTCTCTCCACACCATACTAACAATCTGATTGTCCAAAAACACAGTAGAAAAAACACTTGCAGTATACATTATCATCACATGGAAATCTTCATTCACAGAAATCCATAAGCATATTCATGCCACATAAAACATACATACAGGTAGTCCCTGGGTTCAGAATGAGTTTCATTCCTGAGAATGTCCTTAAGTCTAATTTATATGTAAGTCAGATCACACGAGTAAGCCAAATGCTTGTCTTAGTATATGTATATATTTTACCTTACTATGCCTATAAAACACTTAAGAAACACGTCCCTATTCACTTAAACATTCTAAACACAATACAGCATTGTAATAATGATTATATGATTATAATACAGTAATAATAAAGTAACTACTGGTACTCTCTCTGTGTGTGTGTGTGTGTGAGAGAGAGAGAGAGAGAGAGGGAGGGAGGGAGGTATGTATGTGTCTAGGGGTGCAGTATTATAAAAAACAAAAGAAACCGTTCTTAAAACAGTTTAGAACATTCTTGAGTTAACATTAAGTCTAAAATTAACTGATGTTGATGGAGATGGACCTGGTGCTGGAGAGCTGGGGTTTGATTGTACTGCTGAAGGGTGTGGTGGTCACCACTGGAGTCTAGGGTCCAGATGCTGCAGAATAGAAGCTGTGAATACTGCATCTCTAGGTAACCTCACAGCCACTAAGAGACATGTTACCAAACACATCGCATAGTTCCCTAGATATAGCTGTGACTATCTCTAGGGAACTATGTGGCCACTGATGACATGTCGCCAAATGTATTATGTAGTTTCCTAGAAATATAAAGAGCTTTTCACTAGAGATATTTATATCAGGTTTATGGCAATCCACAAGTATGAGTTGTTTGTAACCCAGATGTTCATAACCTGGAAATTACCAGTATACATACATACAGACATATATACACTCACATGAACTCTTCAGCAAGCCAAGCCAAACCACAAGAAAGAAAAATCAAAGGACTGTTACATTGCAAAACTTGCTAGTTGTATGCATTCCCACATATTTCTTGGGTTCTATAGTATCTTCATTGCATCTTAATATGAATTGTTGAATGGACAAATGTGAATAGCTATATAGGTTGCTCTTCTACTGCTTAGCATCTAGTGTATTTTTTCTCTGGCAGAGGGCACTTCTGTGTAGCAACAGGTCTCTTCCTGCAGCCATTAATGGAAAAAAAGCTTTTCATTGTAGAACTAATGAGAATTTTTTCCCTGTATGATGGTGGATAATTGCACGTCTTTAGGAAGTCTCATATTGGATGGGAAACTGACATTTCCACAACAGAGACCTTTTTCCACTGTTTCTTTATGTGAGAGTTATAATTTATTATAATTTCTTCATAAATTATTATTATTACCATCATCATTATTATATTGCTAACCAGTTACCTGAAATGCTGGAGACTGTAGTCTTTGATTTTATCATTCTAAAGCAAGGCATCCTTTTAAAAGATCAGCACAAAACAAAAGAAGACCAGACATTTACATATTCTATTTATGTGTGCTATTTCTGGACTCTAAAGAGAAAGTTACGATGGCAACAGCAGAAAAATGGTAAATTCAGAAAGCATATTATTTTTTGTCATTTAACTTAAACCACATACATTTTATGCCAATAAAGATTTTAATGAATATTCAGTTTTGCTCATATTTTTGGAAGAAATGTGCATTTGTGAGGCAACTGGAAGCTAATATGAGTAAATTGCAGTTGAATTACATGCTTGTTTTTAACTTGGGGAAAGATTGCTTCAGATCAACACAATGCCCAAAATAAAATCTGTACATTTTATGCTATTGTATTCTGTAGCGTAGGCACAATCCAGCCAAAATTAAGCACTAGCATGGCTAGGGAATGCTGGAGTTGTGGCACTTTTTGTTTCTAAACATGCATAAGGCTTTGCTCTAAATCAACTCCAGCCACACACATCTACCTTCATTAAAAGCTAGAGGCAGCATGTTTGGATGTTTCTGACACAGTTCTTCAGAGAGATGAAACCTGGTGGATGGAAAGGGCAG